TATTTGCTTTTCTTTTCTCTTTCTCGCGGAGAAAAAAAAATAGGAATTATCCGTAGAAATGCCAGAACAATCCCAGAGAGTGAAGGAAGAAAGTGTGAAGCGGGGGAGGAGAGCGCAGAGTGGATGCTGCTGAGGCTGAAGCTGAGACTGTGTGTATACAGAATTTTTACACTCCTGCCGCTTATTCATCCAGCGGCGATGCTTCCTACAGGAGCATCTCCGCGTCTCCTGCCAGCCGGCGTCATCGAATCGCTACCGCCATCTGCTACCGTAACTGCTCAGGCCCGGCTCTCTGATCCAAGCATTGCTTTTATCATCATTCTTTTTTCCCCCCTAACGATCGTCTGTAGCGCCGACTTCGCAGGACGTCCGCAACGCCGCGCAGAGGAGACGCTGAAACCCTCACGGGGCCGATCTGTAGATTGTAAGCTCCTGCGGGCAAGGACTTGTGTCTGACCATCGATCTCTGTGTGTGTGCTTTTTGTGCCTGTCATTGCATTGCAAAGGGCTCGCTTTGTACCTCGCCGCTGCAGGTGACGGTGCTATGAGTTCCATTTTACAAAATAGCGATCATTATCACTAAGATTATAAATAATGACGAAAAGGCTTCACATGTAAGATTGTTTGTTTTATTTTTGTTTGTTCACAAGGTATTAGCTTTCTAGACAATGTACAGTCTATCTATCTATCATCTATCTATCTTCTATCTATCTATCTATCTATCTATCATCTATATTTGGCTGATGGTCATTTTAACATTTTCACTTATTCATATGCTTGGTGTTCCATATTTGAATGACTTTAGTTCATAAACAGACTTGCCAACGCTCCCTCTAGTGGTCATCTGTGCACCAGGCACCGGCCAGGACATAAATATCATTAGCAGGATGTTTAGAGAGCCGTGGATGAAGCAGCCATTCTCATATAGTATGTATGCAGCCATTACTAGTGCTGCCACTAGGTGGCAGTGTTGAATGATTGCATAATGTAATGTTCTCTCTAGGGCAGGGGTGGGCCAACTCTGGCTCCCCAGCTGCGGTGAGACTACAAATCCCATAATGCATCTGCCCCTGGGAGTCATGCCTGTGGCCGTCAAGAGTCCTGCAAGGCCTTATGGGATTTGTGGTTGTACCACAGCTGGAGGGCGGTGGTTTGCCTACCCCTGGCCTATACCATATTTGGTTGAACCTTTCCCTTCCCTCCCTGGGTATGTCATTCTAATATTACCAATACAATGCGCTCCATCAGCTCCTCCTTCATTCTACAGTTCAGGTATGCAAACTCTGACTTTCGGTCCAAAGTCAGCAGCTAAGTTCTCATCTCCATCTCTAGCCACTCCCCTTGCCGCTGAGGGCAGCGACACATGAAGAGTGCAGAACGCCGAGCCACATACCCGAGAGACGACGGGGCTTCACATTTTGTCACTGTGTTATTCCAGGACATCACGATTCCTGGCGTTCTAGTGACGCCGCTCTTGTGACACAGAACTTCCCTAGTTGGGTTACCCAGAAAGGAAAGCCGGGCCAAATGGCGAAAGAGTCCACCCTATCCTTCAAACCACCCTTGCCCATTCACAGAACGCCTCGCACGCAGTGCAAATAATAATAATAGGAGTTTTGTGAATTAGCGGGGGGGGGGGGGGGGGGGGTGAGATGCAC